TAGGGGTTTTAGGGTTCAGGGGTTTAGGGGTTTAGGGGTGTTGGGCTTCAGGGCTGTTTTAGGGATTTAGGGGTTTTAGGGTTTAGGGGTTTACGGGTTTAGGGGTTTAGGGGTTCAGGGTTTCGGGTTTAGGGGTGTTGGGCTTTAGGGTTTAGGGCCTGGGCCGGGCATGGTTAAGGCTTTCCAGCTTCAGGATTCAGGCTCTACTTGGAGGCTCATGGGTAGTTATAAGTAGGGTTATAAGTCCCCTAATATCGGTTATAAGTATAGTTATCCTACTTATAACCCTATTTATAGCTACCCGTGAACCTCCAAGTAGGGCGTGGCGGTTAGGGTTCAACCCGTAAACCCTAAACCCGTTAAGAAAATCTCGGCAGGAAACGCTCTCCCTGGACACTCTCACTGCCTCCGGCACGGCCACAGAAGTCACACTCAAGGCATCAACGGGGCTTTTTTTTGTTCCTAGGTACCAATGTGGGTTAACTGTGTTCTTCCTTGTTAGTTTATTCTAGACGCAAACTAAAGATATTTGGGGAACCGTTGAATTCGACATCCAGAAAAGGTTGTATACGCGTTTTTCGTACAATTACATGGCTCTAAAGTGGCTTTACATGGCTCCCCATGCCTTATGAATCTTGTGTTGTCTGGGGGGGTGGAGGAGTTTTCGGTTAAGGGCGTGAAATATGTGTTCAGGGCCGGGAGTTTGTGTTTAGGGTTCGGGTGCAGGGTTTAGGTTCAGGCTTTAGGCTTTTGTTTTCAATATCTGTATTTTCATAGAGGTACGAAGTTCATGATAATTGAAGCTTGTAAAGCCCGCAAACTCATGAAGCGAGCGCTGCGTGGGCCCTGCAGTAGCTTCACACTCTTGTGGTAATGACCTTTACAATGCCCAAGGGCTTCAACCAGACAGGCACTTAAATGAAGAGCTCACACAACACGCTGTGACTTACTCTCCTTGGTTTGAGAGGCCATCGGCACGGAGTTTACGAGCGGCGTGAAGATCTTGACGCACAGTGTCGATGATACGCAGCTACTTGACTTAGGGGTACTTAGAAATATTTTTTAATCTTTGGCTACCATAAACCCTAAGAAGCAGCCCTAAACCCTAAACCTTAAACCCTAAACCCTAAAGTTATAATTTGTGCTAGGGGTCGAAGTTCAGTATAGTTGACGGGTCGCAGGCTGTCCAGGTGGCTGAATGAATGGTTTCTTTGAGGTCTACGATGGTCCGTTAGACATGGTCGCTGAGGTCGATGATGGCTAGTAATACGGTACATCATGGTACTCATGTAATATAGGGGCCTTAAATAATTANNGGGGGGGGGGGGGTACATTATACTATAGTGATCATAAGGAACCCCCCCAAAAAAAACCCAATTCTACTTATTAAGGCCCCCACTTTAGGGACAAGAAGCCTCTGGAAGTGCTCGAAGTGGCGAAGCCGAAATCCTGCAACACTTGGTCCTAGATCCGTTCACTCAACGCGCTACAGTACAGAGGCCTCAGCAATCACCAGCAGCTATAACCCATTTGGGTTGCTGAGTAATGACCAGTCAATAAAACAATTATGAATTATTACTACTAGTCTAGTATTTTTATATTATTGGTAGTATTCTTATTAGTATCACCACGGGCACCATCAGGTTCATTACTGCTATTATTATTATTATTATTACTACTACTATTATTATTATTACTATTGCTATTGTTACTTGTCGTATTTTATTATTCATCTTATTGTTAAGAATCTTGAATATATAAGTACGACACCAGACTAGCCCTAAGAGCCCGACGCGAATCATTGAGGCCTGCATAGTAGGGTTTAGGCCTTCAGGGCTTTGGGGCTTTAGGTTTCTAGTTTTCAGGTCTAGGACTTTTGGGTTTTAGGGCTTAGGGTTCAGGGCTTTAGGGTTTTAGGGTTCAGGGTTTAGGGTACAGTCAAACGGTTTCGGGCTGATTGTTTCGTGGCCGACCCTCCTACAAAACCCTCAGCCGAAGCCGCCCAAGCCCTGAACCCCTAAACTCTAAACCCCTAAACCCCTAAACCCTAAACCCTAAACCCTGAACATCCCATACCGCCAACCCTGGCATTTCTATGACTCCCATTACGCAGAGACCAGCCCGAAACCCCAAACTAAAAGCCATGTAATGCAGGGGCCTAAATAATTACCTATACTATTATTGGGGGCTTCCTGATTATAGTCATAGTATAATAAACCCCAAAACGCTATTCTAATTACTAAGGCCCCTACATTAAAGCAATGTGCACCGCCGAACCTGTGCTGAGGTAGCTGTCACTATACTAGCCCAGGCGAAACCGAGTCTTCTGGTTTAGGGCTTAGTGTTTAGGGTTGACAGTCCGCGATCAAAAACATAGTCTAGGACATTTTCAGGTGGGTAGTTTCCGTTATAGGAGCCTTATAGAAGGCCTATATACCTTATACAAGCCTAGCCCTATATGGGTAGTTTTCTAAATTAGGGTCCCTTTTTAGGTCCCCAATATCCTTATAAAAAGGACCCCAAATTTAGAGAACCACCCATATACCCTAAACTCCCCACCCGTAGTTTCCTTTAACATAGGATCGCCTTTGGTACTTGCCGGCAGCGTGTATCGGCTCTTGAGTTCGGCACTTCGGACTTCGAGGGTGTGGGCAGTTCTCTAAATGAGGACCCTTTCTATCAGATTGCCGCCCTTTTTTGGGGTTCCCAAAAAGGCGCCCTAACATAGACAACTATACCCTTGTTGCTTACGTTATTCTGCTTGCTTTTCGGAACGTGCGTTGCTTCTCCTTTTTGACGAAGGACTGGCGTGCCCGCTTTCTTGGTGATCTCCTGGCGTGCCCGCCTGGGAACAGATAAGCTTCCTGGATGCAGTTTCAAGAATCCTAAGGTTAGAAGTATGGGCCCCTAATATAGACCCTTGGGGTACATTTGGGGTTTGTAGTAGGTGTATAAGGATCCCAGGGTTAAGAGTTAAGGGCCCATAGTAGGGGCCCATGGTTTCAACCTTGGAAGAATGCAGGGTTTGGGGTGTAGGGTTCGGAGTCTTACGGTATCTTTGGCGAGCAGACGACTGCCGTCAACCCTAACGTAGGTATTAATTTGCATGGGTACTATATTAGGGTCCCCTATTTTCGGAAACGCCCAAATCTTAAACTGCAAACCCCCTGAAGAGACTCGTGAAGATGAAGTTTAGGGTTTAGGCTTTAGGGGCGTTGTGGTTTGACGTCCTTGGGTGGAATAATCCATCGACGTTTAGGAATTAGGGTTTTGGGTTCAGGGTTTTAGTTTTGGGGTTTGGGGCTTTGGGGCTTCAGGTTTAGTTAGGCCCAGCATGCAGCGGGTCGCTAAACCAAGCACCAAACAGCCCCCAAACAGAGTTTGGGGGTAACTACCCACAGGCCCTATCGTAGTTCCTTTTTGGGGTTCATATTTAGAGAATCCTATAAGGTAATCCCCAAAAGGAACTGCTATGGGGCTTTGGGATATATTATAGCATACCAGTATATCCTAGGTTCCCAGTAATGCCCTTTTGCCCTCTTTATTTTTGGGTTCCCTTAATCAAACCAAATAGTAGGAAAAAGGGTGCCCTTATTACTTAGGGCTACTGGAAAACCTAGTATCGGAAGAATGTGGGACGGACCCTATAGGGAAAAATGTTGGTAAATATGATTCGAGAGTGCCAAGAAGCTCCGCGCTCCGCGTGCAGTGGCCAGGTACCTCGAAGGCAATTCGCATGGGAACAAAGTTCAGGTCCACCACTGGGATGGCGACAGCAGGACGCCTTCTGGGCAGTTTCGGAGTTTGGGGTTTATAGGGTTGGTTTCAATGCCATTAAGAGCTATTTAAGGGTTCGCTCTCTATCTCTCTCTCTGTCTCTCTCTCTCTCTCTCGCTCTCTCTCTCTCTCTCTCTCTCTCTATATATATATATATATATATATCTTTCTCTCCCAATTATTTGTATTGTCGTTTGCCTGCTGGCCAGTTTCCGCACTTAGAGATCGGGGTTTTGGGTTTTCAGGTTCAGGAATCAGGGTTCTCCGAGAACGCAGGATAAAATAGAAGCCTCAAGAATTCGTGATGCTATTGATTTAGGTTCAATGTAAAAGCTCTACTATGATTACCTTCCGATTATTCTAGTCTAGAGCATTTCAGAGTTCAGGACCACAGATAGCAAAGGAGTGTGTTGGGTTCTGCCTCCACCCGCAACAGTTAGAGAATATTTATGGTTATAGATAGCGCCAAAGTAGTTCTTTTTTGGGATTATCTTATAGGATTTTAGATATGAGCCCCAAAAGGAACTACTTTAGGGCCTATGATTATAGATAGCCCTTAGATATATGGCTCTAGTTTTGACGGTCACGGGGTAGGAGCATGTTAAAGGTCGAGGGCTCCAGAGGGGCTTACACGGCGCAGGCCATCCGCACAGATTCCTTTTCCTAGCACAGCGAATATCAGCAACTGAAGTTCAAAGCTTAGCAGGTCTAAGCAATGCTTACATATGCATGTGCTTCGTAAGTCATGCCACTGATTTGAGCAGCACACTCCTGAACAAGCATATCAACACTCCTCCTTGGAATCTTCCTTCGGACGATTCCACTCTTTACAATCGGAGTGGGCTTATCGTTGATGGTGGTGCGGCCACTTGCTCCACAAGTGGCTTCATGCAATTCTGTAGCACACATCCAGACAGCCCTTTTTTGCTGGCATCATTTAAACACGTCAGCTCGTCCGTCAAGGATGTAGCCTCCTTACTCACATGCGAACTTTACCCTCATCTGGTAAACAATGGCCGACGGCCTGCACAGTAGTTGCAGTACTCTGACGCAAATACCGTTCCAGCATTCCTTAGGCCATGACATTCGCGGTTTGTATGAACCTTACTCCTGTGATCTGTCGTCTTCCAGAACAAGTTCACGGGCACATCGTCTGGAACGGGGCGATCTGCATACACCACCCTTGTCTCAATCCTCGTACCTGGCTCTGGAAGGGGAGGAGTTTGCGTGGCGGCCGTTCTTGTGGTTGCCTTTGACAGCGTAGGAGGGTCGCTGGTCGATGATCGAAGAGGCCTTCTCAAACTGGCTGTCTCAGCCTCCAGTTCACGTCGCAAGGTCTCTCTGTCCAGCTCCTCCTGCGCCGCGGACCTTGCCACGTCACGCAGCTTCCTCAACCTCCTCTCTTTGGTGGTTTCGTCCCTGATCCCAAGGACCCATGTAGCTGCCCTTTTCACAAGCTCCCACAAACCAACTGCTGCAATGCAAACCAAAGCTGTAACCACTGTGAGCTCATCCCATCCAGCTAGCGAAACCGTCCTGGGAGGGCTGCTTGTCTCAGAGGCTTCCACAGGTACTGTCTGCAAGCGCCAGAGGGCCTCCAATGAACCCCCACAGGCTCATCAGCTCTGACATCCGTAGTTTGCTGTGTAGCTTTGTAGGCAAGTCTGCTAGCTGCTTCTGTCCACTGATATGGTTCACGGTCAAGGCTCCTTGTTGGACTAGATCCGAAATGAACGCACACCGGACCTTCAAGTGACGAGTGCGCCATGATCCTTGACATCCGTGAATGATAGACACAGCTGCACTGTTGTCCACCAAGAGTATTTGCGGAACGCACTTGCCCACAATCTCCTGGACCAATGCTTGTATCCCCTTCATCAGCAGAGTCGTCTGAGCAGCTTCGTAAAGCTCCGCTTCAGCAACCGACATCGTAGCAAAGGCATGCCTTCCACACTTCCACGCAACAACAGAACCGTTCAAGGTTATGGTAGAAGCTCCATATGACCGTCCTCCAAACGGCGCAAAGGACGCATCCGAAAACCCTTCTAAAACCAACCCTACGTTTGCTTTGTGGGTGGTTGCTGTTGGTATGTCTGCTGCTGCCGTGGTTGTTGTGCTTGTGTTCTCGACTGGTTGTCTTCCTCCAAGCTGTAGCTGCACCTCCACCGAAGCTGCCAGGTAGGCCATCACCTTCAGACCCACGCGGTAAACATGACACGGTCTCCTTGCCAGGGCTGAAGCCATCATCGTCACGATGAAAAGGATATCCGGCCTTGACCTCGTCACCCATAGTAGTTCTCCAGTTATTTTCTGAGCCCGTCGGAGCTCATCGGGTGTGAACTCCTCCTGAGTTTCTGCGGTATCATCCTCGTCAACCAACCACTCACGAGGACAAGGTAGTCGAATTTGCTCCCCCGGCTCAAGATCATAACCCTTTACAAGACTTTCCAAATAGCCTCGTTGGGAGATGAGGAAGTGACCCTCCTTTGCTTGCTCAATCTCGACACCAAGGTAGCGGGTTCCATCCGAGGTCCACTCTAACGGACTGCTGGGCCAGTCTTCACAAAGCCATCCGTGTAGTGCAACTATAACCTCTTTCTCCGCCAGGTAGAGCAGGTCATCAACATAGGTCACCAGGACACCTGTCAAAACGTCCGGAGCGTTGTCAACGGAGTAGAGAATCATCCAGACCTCAGGGTCCACTATAGACGCCCGTAGTGTAAGGAACCCATCTCGCCAGGGCACCTTTGCGGATTTCAGCCTCTGCCTCCGAAAATCACTCCAAACTGCCGGGCTCTCTCTCAATCCATAGAGAGCCCGGTGCACTTCCCATGCTTCTGACTCTGTGGCCCTTTCTGCAAGGATCAAAGTCTTTGGCGGTATGATGGCATACTTTCGCATGTGGTCAGGCCAAGGCGCCAGTAGGAAGGCTCCTTGGATATCGGACCCAGCCCCTGCCCAGTGGCACGCGCTTGCCAAAGTGAGGGCCACCCGCATGGAGTCCGCGGATGCTCCAGCAGCATATAGTTCGGCTTGGCTTTGTCCCTCCGGCCTTTCGGCAAAGTTCCCGCAAAGAACTAGGCGACACTTCCTCCTCCATCTGGCGGCAGTGTCCTTTGTCTTGCTCGCATCCTGGGCCTTCGGTGCTGCTCCTTGATTGGGAGGCTTGCACGTAAACACCAGCTTGCTCGGGACAATCACCAGCTCCCCTTTTCTCTCACGCTCTCGAGCTTCCTTCATGGAGATGCGCTTCAGCGTCCCATTGTCGCCATCTTTAAACAAGGTTCCGAGCTCCTTGTCGATGGCAGGAACCCAAAGCTGCAAGTTCCTTTTCACTTGATCCAGCGGCACATTGAGCACAACTTGTAGACCTCCCGTGAGCTCACTGAGGTGCTTCTCGACGTCATCCAACGTGTTGTCCTCTAGCTCCTCAGTCTGAAAACCCTTCAAGCAGTGTTCTACTTCTTGTCGCTCAGCATGACCCACTGCATCCCCAGTTTGCTCCATCATGTCAATGATCATTTGGTGGGTTTGATCCACCTCTTCTGTGACCTGCTTGCCAAGTCTCCGATACTCCTCCAACAGTATCTCCTCCTCCTCAAGTAGGCGCCGTAGAGCAAGGGAACGTTCCTGCATGTCATCCAAAAGGTCCTTCTGGTCCTCGCTCAACATAGCCAGACCTTCACTCCAGGTTGAAATCTCCTCTTGGCTAGGAGGCTCAAATAAAGACTCCGATGCACCACTCTCTCGTTCACCTTGATCCTGCTCATCGGAACCACCTCGTTGTTCTGGTAAGTTGAAACCCAGCCCACGAAGTTCACTTTCGATCTCTTCCTTCAAGCTGGTAAGTCTTGGAGTGTAGGTGAGCAGGGCAATGCGGGTTCCAGTCCAAGGCTCTGTTTGATGCCATTGTCCCGGTGAGAAGGCAACTGTTTTCCCAGGTTGTAGTTCATGAAGTTTCCCACGCTTCCATTGACCCTCGGCGACTTGTCTCCACTCATCATCGTAGCTGTAGTCGCCCTCTGTCTTCTCAACCCATACCTCACCATTGGTAAAGTCATTCAAGGCCGTGATCGTATTCTCGGTTCCCCTTTGGTTGTGGCTGTCGCGATGCGGGCCCATGCCAACATTCTCAACGATAGCCACACATCCAAAATGGCTTTGTCCGGTTATCTCCTTCGCGGCCTTCACCAGGTAGGCCGTGGTATTTGGAAGTTGCCGAGCCAATTTCATGATTCCACAAACTCCTCCATGAACATAGCTGCCAGTGTAGAAGGACTCGGAGTTCTCATTCACAGCTGACATCTTTGCGCCTCGTCTCCTTGGTCTTGGAATCTCCTTGAGTTTTTTCCAGAGGCGTAGCACGTCATCAACTTCATACATTTCCTCCACATCCAAGTCTCTCGCGTAGGACTCGACCTCGTTGTACACACTGGTGAGCAGAGCCAGCCTGGCTTTCGTTCTCAGCCTTCTTGTCGGAACGGGTAGATCAACCTCCACGGGCTCATCGTCAGCAAGAGCCTCGGCATTCACCAAACCTTCTCGCACATGGCAACTAGTGACAAAGGTTCCATCATCATACCTCACCACCAGGCCGTTCTTCACGTCACTGCTGTAGCCCACAAACCGACCCTCGCCCCAACGGGGGTTAAGGTCATATGAGCCCCCGGTCCCAAAGACCTTTGACTTCACCGCAACCCGTGCTCCAAAGCCTGGGTCCTTGGCGAGAGGCTGTGCTAAAGCTCGTAGGCGCTGTCTCTGAGCTGCGTACGTCATAGCCAGGGGCCAACATTCTCGTGGGAGTGACGAACTCGCAAGTAAGACCTTGGCATACTTCTTCAGGTTCTTCACCGCAGCTTCAGCTCGACCATTTTGTTGGGGCGTTTGGGACTCTCCAGTAGTAACCCAAACATCTTTCTCATACAGCCATTGTCTCAACGCCGACGACTTGAGTTCGCGCGCTCTATCTGAGTGCACTCGGGTAACTGGATGTCCTTCTTGACGGAGTTGCAAGTACATTCGCCTCATGGCCGCGTTGACATCAACCTTCTGTCTGGATCTGAGGGGTATCACGTACAACAACGTCTGAAACTCCAAGGGCTCGCCCACTTCCTTGACAACCTCGCTGTAGAACTTCTTGTAGTCTTCGTTCTTCTGCTCCAGTTCAACTTGGTCACCAGGAGAGAACGGAATGTCCTCAACTTCTTCCTCCTGGAGAAACTCGTCCTCCTCCTCAAGCATTGGACCCACACCACCACCGTCATCTGCATCTGGTTGCAAGCTGTCTGGATCACGTCTCCCATCGGCTTCCGGTTGTAGTGGATCTGGATCACTCT